GGGTTGGGGCGGGGGGCGGGCGGTGATTCGGGCCGCCCCTCGACGCCCGGCGCTGGGAAACGTCGTGGAGGCCGTGCGTAGACCGCGGCGCTCAGCGGGTCCCGGGCCAGACAGCTCCGGGCCGCGCGTGGACCAGACTTTGCTCGGCAGTGTCCACGCCTTGCGCGGCCCTCGGACCCTCGCCTGGGCCTGCGTGCTGGGAGCGGGCTGCGACCCCCAGGGTCCAGTTCAGGCAGACAGCGAGGAGTGGGCGGGCCAGGGAGGACACGCGCGACACCTGGGAGGTGCCAGCCTCCTCCCTTGGACGCAGCGGCAGGGGCTCAGCTCCCCCCAGGGACACACCCATCTAGGAGGGGCTGTCACCGCCATAGTCTCTGCAGGAGGTGGAGGACTGATAGACCTGCTGGAGGGATGGAGGTTGCTTGGCCTGGCGCCCCCACAAGCCTGCTTTGTGACCTTGGGGGGGCCTTGTCTGAGCCCTCCCTCATCTGCAAATGGAGGACCTGGTGGGCTGCTATGTTAACTCTTCTGCTACCTATAGGTGGGTAGGGGAACCCATTGCTGGGGTTGGATGGGGTTGGGCTGTCCTATGTGTCGGCAGAGGTGGGAAAGGGGCTAGCCTTTTAGAAGACCAGATGGGTGGGAGGAAGGAAAGGTACCATAAAGATCAGGTCTCTTGCTGTCAGTGCGGGAAGACCTTGGAGTTTGGTTTGGTTGGACAAGTGTTGGCAGGTCTGGGGAGCTGGACAGGAGGGTGCGCAGCACAGTGATGGTCCCTTTGGCTCTAGGAGCAAATGCAGGATAGGGGAAACTGAAAACAGACCATGAGGATCATGGTGATCAAACAAGAAAGTCTTCCTGGAGAACATGAAGAGTTTGAGGGCTTTGAGGTCAGTGGGGCCACCCAGAGGGAAAGAAGGGGACTAGAATCAAGTGCACCCATATACTCCTCCCACGCCCTACATGAGTTTCCCTGGATTTGGGACTCTGGTGGACAGTTCCGAACAGTTTCCAAACTTTGCTGCTGCTTTCTGTCTTTGTCTCCCTCTTCTCCTTGGAAGGTTCTAAATATCTGTAGCACTGTATCCTAGGGTGCAGGGCCCCAGCCAAAAATGAAGGTCTGAGATGACCCAGGGGTTATGTTGATGAAGCTGCTCACCTGGCCTGCAGTGGCTTTGACTTGGAATCAGATGCCAAGGGAGACGTGAGCAAAGTGAGTTTCAGTGGATTGACAGCCTGGAAGAAGGAAAGGCATGTGGGTCTGGGGGAGGCAGAGGGAATCCAGGGCCTGAGTTGTAGGGATGTGAAACCCAGATTTGTCTCTTGAGGTTCATTTTTCAAAGCATTCTGTTCTGAATCCTGGGTCAGGGCACATGGGATGTCTGACTGTGCTCAGCACGGGGCCTGTCTGCTGGGGGACTGCTGACTCTGCAGGGGCTGGACCTCTTCTCTTTGTGGGTCTGGTCATGTTGGTGGGTAAAACAGAGAGGGGACTTTTTCTGGTGTCCTCTTGGGAGGGATAGACTCCCCACTGCTCCTGGAATGGGTTCCAGTTTGAAGGACTCCCCAGCTGTGGTCACCCTATTAAAACAGGCGGCATGACAGTAGGATCAAACTACAAGTATTAAAAACTCATGTCTGGGACCAGCAGTTGGCGTAATGGCTATGTCGCTGGACTCCCATGTAGTCGACCACTGTCTGAGTCCCAGACCCAGTGGCTTAAACTCACGCTGGGTGCTTGTGCGTATGTGCCCAAGATCCCAAGAGGAGACTGGAGGAGAAGGGATTGTGACGTGGCCATTCCCCCTGCGGGGGGGTGATTTCTTGCTTTCTATTTCTTTCTGGCACACACACACCCCCAATAGCAAAAACTTCTCCAAAATAAATAAATAAATAAATAAATAAATAAATAACTCATGTCCATCATGTTGAATACAGACTGTAGAGTCATTTCTTTAGTAAGAATTTGAGGGAACCAGTAGTTAGTGTAATGGCTATGTCGCTGGACTCTCACGTAGTGGACCGTGGTTCGCGTCCCGGACCCGGTGGCTTAAAACCCTCGCCGGGCGCATGTGCGTGCGTGCCCAAGATCCCGAGAGGAGAATGGAGGAGAAGGGATTGCGGTGTGGCCATCCCCTCTGGGGGGTGATTTCTCACTTTCTGTCTCTCTGTCTTTCTCTGTCTGGCGAGCGCACGTGCCCTATAGTGAAAAACCTCTCAAAAAAAAAAAAAAGAATTTGAATGTTTATGATGGGTCTGGTGTGGGGGGAATTCAGAGATGAACAAAGGGATCTCCTACCACCCTTGAGTGACTGTACTGAGGGAGCAGGACCATAGACAGTTCTATAATATATAGAATAGTGTGGTGGGTGGTTCAAGGGAAGAGGACAGGGAGCCAGCGTGTATGACAAGGGCCCAGGGGAGCTATCCTCAGAAAATCGTTGAAGAAGAGGGAATGAGGGACCAGCAGTTAGTGTAATGGCTATGTCACTGGACTCCCATGTAGTCGACCGTGGTTCGAGTCCCGGACTCAGTGGCTTAAACTCACACTGGGTGCTTGTGCGTGTGTGCCCAAGATCCCAAGAGGAGAATGGAGAAGGGATTGTGGTGTGGCCATCCCCCGTGGGGGGTGATTTCTTGCTTTCTGTCTGTCTGTCTCTCTCTCTCTGGTGAGCACATGCGCCCTATAGCAAAAACCTCTCAAAAAAAAAAAAAAGAGGGGGGGAATGAGAGTTTCAGGGAGAGAGAACATGGCACGTGCAAAGGTCTCAGTGTGCAATGAACATGGGGCCACTTTATTCCAAGGCCGTGAAGCATTCGTTTTTATTCCAAAGTCATGAAGCTAGGAAGCTTTTTTCTTCAGGAAGCCTTTCTTCTGTCCTCATAGACAGTGGCCTTGCCTGTTAAGAACTGAAGTTGTTGGTGGTGGCTAGGCAGGAGGCAGCTCTGCTAGGTTGGCATCGTGTCTGTCCTCAGCCTGAACTTATAGCCTGAGGCCTGAGTGAGAAAAGCCCTCCTCTGGGCCTGGATGGGTGGCAGTTGAGGAATTGCTGCTGAGTGTTCTCAGTGCTTCGAGTGCTGGGCAGAGTCATGTCCTACTGAAGGTGGTTAGGGTAACATGCAGTATACCATCTTCTACATGTCAGGCATCTTTACATGCCAACGAGCCTTGGGCACTGAGGAGGTAGGCTTCTGGGAGAGGCTGGAGGCTGAAGTGGCTCTTCTAGGCATAGTTGGTGTGACCTGAGTCTTTGGGGTCAATGATTCTGAATCTAGAATGGGAGTTGGAGCAAGTGAGGGGTGTGTGTGATGACTGGAATAAAACTGACTTCTGGCTGTCAGCATGCTTGGACTTGGACAGGACAACATGAATGTTTGGAGTTTCCTAGCTATTAAGGTGTGTTTGTGTATTTAAAGATTTTTGCCTTAGGATACATGCCTTAGGAGACAGAGAGAGACAGTGAGAAATCACCCCCCAGGAGAATGGCCATGCTGTAATTGCTTCTCTACCAGTCTCCTCTTGGGCTATTGGGCACACAAGCACAAACCACCAGGTGGTCCAGGACTCAAACTGTGGAGTCAGCCATATAGGATCCAGCACCTTAACCACCATGCCACTAGCTGGCCCTAATGTGTGGCTTTTAAAGCAGGTGTTCAAGGCAATACAGAAAATGGAATATGCAGCCTTATTAATAGAGATGGGTTAGGGAATAAGATCTAATCTCTGAGCAGTCTTCTCAAGTGTGTCTCTAAAAAACATTAGGTCAGGGGCCAGCAGATGGCGGAATGGTTATGTTGCTGGACTCCCATGTAGTTGACCGCAATTTGAATCCTGGACCCAGTGACTTCAAACTCATGTAGGGCACATGTGCATGCATGCCCAAGATCCCAAGAGGAGAGTGAAGGAGAAGGGATTGCAGCATGCCATTACCCTGGGAGTGATTTCTTGCTTTCCATCTCTCTCTCTAGCAAGCACATATGCCCTATAGCAAAAACCTCTCTCTCTCTAAAAACAAACAAGCAAGCAAACAAACACTGTGCAATGGTCTGAACTGTTCTTGTGACCGTTGGTGTCTATACCAGGTGCCCCAGTCTTATTTTAGGTGCTCTGGGGCAGACATTGTCCACTGGTAGAGCCAAATAAACTGAAATGGGACCAATTGCCTGGATTGGCCATGTGGCCTGTTATTTCAGGACCTTTCTGGGGTTCATGCCCTCACCCCTAGAAAGTGGGCTTGCCTCACTTTGGAAGTGGCCCATTCAGGTCTGAGAGAGACATCAAAGGGATGGGTGCTGGGTGATGGACCCAGTCTTAGGTCAGTACCCCAAAAGAAGCCACAGAAACAGACTCATTGAAATCATGAGTCTGTTCTGCCTGTGGGTATTCACAGGGGCTGATGAAGGATGTGCAGCGCATGGAGCTGTGTGGCCCCAGTCCTGTAGCTTCCCCCTCTGTGGCAGCATGCCTATATCTACCCTGAGCCCCTGAGCTGAGCTATCTGTGACATTGGTGACAGCAGGACCTTGTGGGACTTTGGCAGTTCAGCCTTGAGGGTTCTCTGATCCCGCAGTTGAAGAAATGTCACAGGCATTTTGTATCACTGTGCTGCTTTAGTGATGAGCCAAGTCTCCAGATGTTCCGAGTGTTTCCCAAATGCCTGGACAGAGCCAGGGTAAGGGTAGAGAAGAGGTAATGCTTACTCACAGCCCCTTCTTCCCACACCTCCAGGAAGGAGCCTGACCTGCAGGTTTCTCAGCGCCAGCCTCACTTTTCATGTAAAGAAACAAGCAAAGCCATTCCTGCCTTCGTTCCATCCTGAAGTGCTTGACAAGTACCCCCAGACCACCCCTGTCAGATTCTCCTCAATGTTCCCTGCTGGCCTGGTTCATGTGTGCTGAGGACCAGGTAAGCTTCTCTTGGCCCGGCAGGCTATACTTTCTCCTTTTGGCTAAATGTGGACACCCTCAGGCAGTGTTGCTGAGACTCAAGGCTTCTGTGGTCCTTGAGGATAAATGTCTGATTTACTCCAAGAAAGAGTACCAGAGAGAGTAGAAGAACGAGTACTATGCCAACCAGGCATGTAGTCACTCTAAAGAAAGAACTCAGACCCACAGCCTAGGGACTCATGGGGAAGGCTCTCTGGACAGGTGTAGAATGCCTTGGTTGTGCAGCATAAGACTGTGGGAAGAGCCTTGGCCCTCCTTCAGTTCTAGTGCCTTCATCTCTATAAATGGGGGAGAATCTTGCCTCTTTCAGAGGCTGGTGGGAGGCCCCGTGAAGGGCCCCACGTGAGTGCTGTGAGTGGCCCATCACTGGTGCCCGTCTGTGTTTCAGGCCAAGCACAGGTTCAGTCCAAGGAAAGATGGCAGCCCTTCACACAACTCCAGACTCCCCAGCTGCCCAGCTGGAGAAGGTAGAGGATGGGTCGCAGTGTGATCCTGACCAGGAGGAGGAGGAAGAAACAAAACAGGAAGAAGTAGAGGAGGAGGAAGAGATAGAAGTGGAAGAAGAGGAGGAGGATGCAGAGGTGGAGGCCGAAATGCAGGTTGAGGAGGCCAAGGGGCAGGTGGAGGTGGTGGCAGAGGTGGAGGCGGAGGAGGACAATGACGTGGAGGAGGTACTGGCTGCAGAGCGGGGTCCAGCCTTGGGGACCCAGGAGCAACTTAACTACCATGGTGACACCAAGTCCCCAGTTCTTCAGGAAAAGGGTAAGAAAAGCAGCCAACCCCTGGGAGAGGAAGTAAAGGGGGCTTGGGAGGGCCAGGGGAGCTCTTAGACCTGATGGGGTGGGACTGGAACAGGAGCGTCAGAGCCTAGGTTTTGAGGTGAGGAAGCAGCCTTATTCTGATCCTGCATGCTGGGTGGGTGGAAGTCAGCCAGGGTGGCTAGGCCAGCCAGGCCGGGTGCTGAGAGCACCTGGCCCCTAAGAGATCTGTCACCTCAGCCCCGCAGGCCTCCCAGACTCCAGCCACTCCTAGGGAAGAAGAACTGGAGGAGGAGGAAGAGGAGGAGGAAGATGAAGAGGATTTCCTGACAACTGGGTCTCAGGTGAGCTGCCCCTCCCTTGTGTGGAGTTCTGGCAACCCATAGGGTGTTTTCCTGGAGGGGTCTTGGTGCCTGTTATTCTGGAGACTTTTGTGGACGCAGCACTGGATCCTCAGGCCAGGCCCAAGGGATATGGTGCAGCTTTTCTGGGGCCTGACCCCTCCCAGGTCATTGGTTGTCATAATCGTTTTACCTTCCACACAATCAGAAGCACCATGCACACTGACTTCGAAAACCTGGCATTCCCCAAATGTCAGGTTACCCCCTAACCTGGAGCATCTGTCACCTGCCAGGCCTAGCTTCTTGCTGCCCAGTCAGGCTAGGCACCATGGCCCATGCTCAGTGTAGTTGGTGCCTCTTCTCCACCCAGGAGTGGGCCCTTACACTACCTGTGTGGCCAGAGCATTTGCTTGAGCTAGGTTGTATGACGTAGGACTGTGGGCTGGGGCTTCATTGTCTCGTAACCTAGATGTAAGTCCCATCTCTGCCCACATGCACTGGCTCCTTCGCCTTCTCTTAAGCCAGAGTTCAAGTCTCTTCATGTGAATGGGGTCTCTGTCTCCCACTGACTGTCAGGCAGTGAGGCCTGAAAGTTCTCAGTATTGTCTCAGCATATCTTGGCTGATAATGGGAAACTTAGCTGTATCCCCCCCAATGAGAGCCACATTGTAGGGCCTGGGAACATCCTCTGACAGTCTCTCCTGGCCCTTTGTGAGGGGCTCCCTCAGCCTCTCCCTGGGGCAGCTGAGGATAGTATCTGGGGCTCTGTGCTTTCCAGGGGCTGGTGACCTTTGAAGATGTAGCTGTGTACTTCTCCCTGGAGGAGTGGGAAAAGCTGGATGTGGATCAGCGGGGCCTCTACCAGGAAGTCATGCAGGAGAACTATGGTATCCTGGTGTCCTTGGGTAAGGAGGGGCTCTTTGCCCCAAGAGATAACTAGTGTGATGACTGCTGGGGGCTTAGCTGTCTGAGGAGATGTCTCCGGCCCAAGGGTCTTAGAGAAGGTGGGTGTCAGGGCCAGCCCAACTCCCAGGGAAACTGTAGGGCCATGCTGGGATCTGGGCAGAGTGAAGGGTGTCCTGGGGTCCCACTGTAGCTCACCTGTACCAGGGTGGACATATTCTGTGGAGCAGCGAGTCCAGCTCTGGTTCTGTGCTGCACATTCCCCAGGAGCCTTGAGGGTAAGGCAGCAGGTGAAGGGGGAGAGGCATGGGTGTTCTATTGGTATAGGGATGAAGGTGTGTGTGTTGGGGGCTACTTGGCAGAAGTCAGGTAGTCAGGGTAAGGCTCAGAGGGAAGGAAAGGTGGAGTCTAGAGCAGAGTGAGGTGGAGAGGAACTAAGTGAGCTGGAGACAGCACTGTTCTGGTGACGGCTACCCTGTAGCTGCTGTCTGTTTTGCTCCTGGGCAGGGTACCCAATCCCTAAGCCAGACCTCATCTTCCGGCTGGAACAAGGGGAAGAACCTTGGGTCCCAGATAGTCCCCGTCCTGAGGAGGGAGACATCGTCACTGGCGTCTACACAGGTGAGCATGAGATGGAATCACATGGGGTTTCTGCCAACACAGCTGCTCAGAGCTGTCGTCAGACTTCGGACTTCCCTGAGCCCTCTTCAGACTTGGCCCTGGTCCCTCTGCGTTTCCCAGTCTTGAGATCAGGAGTATGGAGTGGGCTCCATGGAGACGGGGCAGCTACCATGGACTAACCTCTTCCTTTGCCTCTCGACTACTCATAGTTCCAGCTCCATAGGGGCCCAATTCAATCCTAGGAACCTTTTTTTCTCCTGAAACATTTTTTTTAATTAATTTACATTCATCACCTAAGCATTGTCACAGCATACAAAATGTGGTTTTCCACCCAGAATATACTGCATAGTGGCTTAATCATGCATGTTATCATCAATAATTATCCATTTCTGACCCTGTGCCCTTTCCCACCCTCTTCTCACACTTCTCTGGGGTCTGCAGGTGTCTTCCATTCATTTTCCTTCCACATTTTATTGATCATACAATTTCTTAAATAATCTAACCACTTTTGATAGCAAGTTCAACTGGTAATTTCAAGAAAAGTAGTTTTATATTGGTAAGGAAATTTGCTTAAAACTTAAAGCCTGGAAAAAGGTTAGTATTCTGTTCAAATAGTAGGTTCATGAACCTATTGACAACTCAAGACAGGACAAAAACTCTTAAAACTGGACAACAAAGCCTAGAAGAAAAGCAGCAATATTTAGTCAAAAGTCACAGAATGCTATTTCACCAGTTCAGTCTTATGTACTTAATCTATCTTCTGTTGTGGTTCGATCTTCCCGATTGAATTCTGGGATATAATATTCAACTCTAGGCTTGTCCCTATGATTAAGTTGGCCATTTTTTTAGTTTTTGAACTCTTATTTCTGTGTGTCTGCATTTAATTTTATTTTCCCATTCTTTCCTCGCTCACATTGTTTCCAATGAGAGGTCTGCTGCTATCCTGATGGGATATCCTTTGTAGGTAACTTGATGTTTTTCTCTTACCAATCTTGGTATCTTGTCTTTGTCTGTGGTTTTGGTGAACCTGGCTATAATGTGTTTTGGAGAAGATCTTTTTGGGTTAATTCTACTTGAGGTCCTTTGTATTTCTTAGGACTGGATCCTTTGAGTGCCTCTCTAGATTTGGAAAGTTTTCTTGCAGGATTTCATAGAATAGATTATCAATGCCCTTATGAGTCTCTTTGCCTTCTGGGATACAAATTATCTGGATGTTTGGATGTTTGATAGTATCTAGTACTTCTCGTACATTATTCTCAAATTTGGGGACAGTTTTCTCAGTCTTTGTAGTGGATTTTTCTAGGCCAGCAATTTTCTCTTCTAAGTCTGAGATTCTATTTTCTGTATGATCTAGTCTGCTTTAATATTTTCAAGGGAGATTTTGACTTCCTGTATTATAACCTTCATCTCTAACAGTTCCACTTGATTCTTCTGTAAAATATGTAATTTCTCTTTCAGATATTGCCAGAATTTTCTCACCTCCTGAAACTCGTTGACTTCTTTCTCCTTTCTCTTCTGCAGTTCATTGTCTCTCTTCTCTTCCATCTCTGTTAGCTTTGCCATTATGAATATTCTAAATTCTTTATCAGACATTTCCATGATTTCCATCGAACTGTCTGTGGATGAAGAGGAGTTATTCTTTTCCCTTGGAGGAGAGGTATTTTCTTGCTTTCCTGTATTTCTTGTGGCCCTGTGGTGATTTATAGTCATCTGATGGATAGTATGTTTCTTCCTACACTTCAAGTTCAATCTGAGCATCCCTCGAGTTTGTGGGCTAGAGGTTGAATTATCAGTGGATAATATTCCACTTATTTTTTTGCTTATTCCCCTGAAGTCACTAGTTCTCAGGAGCCATGAAGGTGTCTTCTGAAGTCCTGATCCCTTGCCTCTCTCTCCTAGGAACCTTTAAACAATGATTCCCCATTCCTACTTTGGAGCCTGTGATTTTTTTCTTTCTCCCTTTTTTTTTTTTTTTTTTTTTTTTTTGTTGTTGTTGTTATTGTAAATGAAGGGCCAGTTGTCAAGCTGTCAGCTCAGAGCCGAGGCACAGGAATCCAGCAGACTGTCTGTTCTGGGAATGCTCAAGCTTGCATGGTCTTATCCAGGCCTCTGGCTTCTCCACCATCTAGGCATCTCAGTCTCCCCTGTTCTCCTGGGAAGGCCTATAGCAGCCTCTGACCTGGGTGGCAATTGGTGGCCTTCCAGAGAAGAGATTTTGTAGTGATGTGTACAGAAAATATTTGGGGTGGCCAGTTTCTCTGGAGGCCTCAGAGCCAGCTCTAACTCTGTTCAACTCTTTGAGCCTTACTTTATTCATCTTCAGAATAAAGAATTTGAACTAAACCTGTAGTTTCTATCTGGAGGGCACTGGGCTCCTGGTTGTGTTCAGATACACTGTGGAGTCAGAGTTGTTTTTAGGGTTCAGAAAGTCCAGCAGAAGCCCTTGCCCTACAGGTGTATTCTTGGGGCTGGAGGGATGCCAGCCCAGGGAGGGGCAATAGGTAGACTTGGAGCAGCTTACAGATGTGTTTTTAAATAAAAATACAGAAAAGTACTTGGCCAATAACAACATGTATATATTTCCAATTCTCTCACATACAGCCGTCATACTCCCAACACCCCTGTGAAAGAGCTTGGAGGCTTTACTTTGCAGATAAGACCAGCCTTTAGACCAGTTGCCTCAGGCCTGCTGTCAGTCACCCCTCCCCATGCCACAGGGCTCCTTCCCAGCCTGTGTCTCCAGGTTCCCTGGAGCCCCTAGGAATCTCTCTTGGGCTTCAGAACTTGGAGGGTTGGCAAAAGGCATTGCCCCTGCCTTCAGGATTAGGCTAGCACGTAGGTGATACTTCTCAGAGGACCTTAGTGGGAGATGTGGCCTATTTATAGGACATCTTAGTAAAGCCACCCACAGGGGAAGGGAGTGCAGATCTCTACTGGCCAATCTCTCAGTGTGCGGTTGAAGTGCACCTGTTCTCCAGCCTCTTGGAGGGTCCTAGGTAGAGCCTTTTGCAGACTTGAACCTGGGTGATCCTCTTTCAGGCTGGGTGACATGTACCTTGTGACTTGTGGACCTTGCAGGGGTTTGTGAGAGCTCCCTGAAGGGGCCTTATGCCATGGCCAGTTACGATGTTGGGATGGTAGGCCTGAGGTACCCCTGGCTCAGACAATCTATAGGGTACCTGGGGGTGCAGGACCCAGGGACAGTCTTTGAGTATCATGTGCCTGGTTGGAGGACATACAGTGACAAAGACAGGCAGCCACTGTGGTCTCTTCACAGTAACTGTAGCCTATTTGCTGAATGGCCTCCTTCCCCTACATTCATTTTTGTTCAGCTGAGCCACTGGAGAACTGAGAATTTCTGGGTCTGGGCAGGATAGATGCTAATTGTTAGGAGGCTGACAGCATTTGTATTTCTAGAGTATAGTCTTGGAAGATGCAAGTGTATTCCTTTTTTGTGCTCCTTGACAAGTTGAGGTACACATGATGTCTGGAATCTGGCCACATTCTTCACTCAGGTGCTTCTACCTGCTGGAAGTGACTGAAGCTTCTCTTTAGGCCATGTCCCCAACTCTCTGGTGCTTATCCCTCCCCTCTCTTCCTTCAGCCCTGCCCCTTTCTCCTTTCCTGTTTAGATTGCAGGGTCCCTGTTCCTCTGCCAATGTCCAATGTGGTTGCTTGGCAGAAATCTGCTCCTGATTGGACCACATTTCCTGTAGGCCTCTGATCTGTGCTGGACAAGAGTGGATCTCCACCACAGCCTGTTGGCCTGGCCTTGTGTCTTCATGGGTCTGGTGTTTCCTCTCTCTGAGATAGACCTCTTGGGCCCCTGGTTCCAACACACCCAGTGCTTCTCCACCTGCCCTTGTTTGTTTATAGGCTCTGGGACAGTATTGGGTCATCTCGTTCTCTCCTTAGTTCCCTCTGTATTGTCCATCTCTACTTCTCTCCCCTCAGGCCTTCTCTCCCCTGTGATCTGGCTACCTGCCTACTTGGGGATCTAATGGGTATCTCAGTGAAATGGAAATACTCCTTCTGCCTGGCCTTTCCTGCAGCATCCCCAGCACCTGAGTGGGCCTCAGGCCTGCCTGAGCCTCCTTCTCCCCCACCTAGCCCAGGCTGTCCCCAGGCCACAGGTGTCCCTACGCTGCTGTCTGCCTTACACTTCAGAGGCATTCTCCAGCATTTGGAATAGTAGCTGAGCTTTTCACCATGGCTGAGGACTGCCACCCCCTCCAGGCTTCTGTCACATCCCTCAGCTCCTCAGGCTCAGCCCCACAGACAGCCATTCTTTGCAAGCTCTTACCTACTCTGTTGTTTCCTTTGCTAGGAAAAATGCAAGTACTTCATGTGGCTGACTTAGTTCTCAGGTCCCCTTTGAGTCCTGTGTTCTCTGACCTCCTTGGGTTCATTCCCTCCCATTACTCCAAGACATTCAAAGCTTTATTATATTATTATTTTAGATTTTTGCCATAGGGCATGTACACTCACTAGAAAGAGACAGAAACAGAAAGGAGAAGTGAGAAATCACCCTCCAGGTGGAATGATCATGCTGCGATTCCTTCTCCATTCTGCTGGGATTTTGGGTATGTATGCACATGTGCCTGGTGTTTTTTTTTTTTTTTTGGGGGGGGCGGGTTTTTGTTTT